AAATAAATAAGCAAAGTAAGCTCTTTATTTTTTAAATAAGATCTATTAAAAGCACTAAGTACCATATTATTTTCGATTTCATGTCTAGCAGTAATTTTCGAAGTAGATTAAACACGACACATAGCATATCACATCGTATACATAGAAATGTTTATTGAGATAATTAATGATATCATATATAAGGTCACAGAAATGATGCCGGAAATAATTGTCTCGCAAATTCTTACAAAACACTTTCGCATTTGAATGGAACGATGCATCATATTGACTACGAATGTTTGCAATTAAATCGTATATGGGAGTAAATTATAGTAAAAAATCTTGGAAATCTTTTATTTAATTCAGAAACTAAGTTTGCATTTTGAAAAACGTCACTATTTACTATATCGTCATATTTTGTGAACCAAAGAATGTACATCAAGCATTGGACAGCCAGAAAGTTGGTTGAAATTTTTATGTCCTTAGTTGATCAGCAACTAATATATCATTTTACAGAAGCTTTTAATTAAATCGTTGGATTTTTCAAGTCTTGAGGCGAACAAAATGGCTTTAAAATAGCTAGTCAAAGTTATTTGGTCACGTGTTTGACACCCTGAAGCCATCGATTTTTACTGATGACCGATTCCCAAGTTCAAACAATACAGACATTTTGATACTTCATGGATTTTAATAATTTAAAACTCGTGATCAGTTTTAATAAACATTACCTTTAAACTCTACAGATATTTCTCACTAAAGCAACGCATTTAGTTAAATCATAACTTTATGATATTTAATATCCAATAAGATTTTTTTATCAATTATTTATCTCTTTTGTTATTAGTATCTCCAGTCAAAATAACACAAATGAACATTTTTATATATGTAGCTTGTTTAAAAAAAAACTACAAATGAAATTTATTTACTAAACATACATACAAAAAGCATAGCGATTGTGCTAGTAACTGTCTTGTAAAGAAATAGATTGATTCAGCTTTGAAGTTTTTCTGCTCAAATCGTAGTATACACAGTATGAATATTTCTAAAAAACCCTGTATTGTTTATATGTATATAGTTAAAGTGCATTAAGTTCTTTTGTATTAAGTGGCCTAAATCCTATGTTATTACAGTTTGTAAAGTGTTATTGTAATTTTGCGAATGGTATTAATTTGATATAATGACTTAATTCTTCTTTAAAGAGTCAACTTCTATAGAGAATGAATAATCTGTATTTATTACAATATATAAATATAATAAAAAGAACTAATCAAACTTTAATGTTAATACACAAATGTCAACAAATTATATGATAATATCATGTGACATACAGGTAAGGGAAAGTTTAGGATGCACTTTTAAAGTACAAACATATGTAAATGGATAGATTGAAGAGTACACAGGAGTGATGAAATTTTAAATTAATGATTTAGTAAACATGCACGTTTTTGACACTTACGTGATCAATGTATGGTGTTAATTGGATTTATGATTTTTGTGGATGTGGGTGGCACTCAGCTGTTTGTCTCATTAAACACAAGGGTATTCAAAGTTCCATCAAATTGTTACGCACTTGATTTTTCTGAGGTTAGTAACACAATAGTGGTTATTATGAATCTTCTCAGAGTTACTACATAACATTTTGAATAGCATATACAGATAGTGTAAATTCTGCAACTAGATGATATCTTATTTATTCTGAAGTTCTTTTTTTACTGGAAACTATTTTTTACAAAATGACTGCTATGTATGTCGACACTTCTTCCGTGTGAAGATTTTCGAGTGTTGTTTTAAAAAATCACTAGACCGTCACTGTTTTCAGATCAGTTTTGATTATTCATTTATGTATTGACAGAAAGATGATGGTAATAGCCAATTATCCTCTGATTTTAATGAAAACTCATAAACTTTACTATTCTTTGAATGAAAATAATTAAGATTAGTAAAACGCTACATGGTATATCTCCTCCATTTCACTGCTGATTTATTTATTCTACATCTCAATGAGTGGTATCTTCAAAGTCTCATAATGTCAACAGTTAATTTTAATAGTTTCACGAATCAGTCACCAAAATTACTCATGGACGTTAATTGATATTAACATCAAGATTATGTTCTACTGAAATACATTTCCAGTAGCTTTTATGTTTAAAGAGACATAAAAACTTTAGTTAAATATACCAACAGTGGGATAGTTCGAACTTTTTATAATAATAACATAACAGTCATACCTGTTGAACAATTTAGTGGTTATCTAGGCTCAGTGGCTTGGTATTCATTTACTAGTAAAGCTTTTATGCAGAAACTAAATGAAAAAATGTAATCATTGGACTTTTTACAGTCATACAGTTTTAATAGTAGTTTGACTTATCTTGTGATATTACCATCTGAAGATAATTTAAACATTTCCAGAGTTTAAGAAAGTTTATATTGTTTTAATTAAAGCCTCAACTAAAATGACATCCATCGTTACAGACGCGACAAGAAAATGCACTGCGTTTCAAAGACGACATCATTCTATTAAATTCCTCAAGACAAATATAAAATACTATCAGAATGAGGGTTTGTGAATATTATAGTAATTTAAAAGTTGTATTCGTGAATCAATTAAAGCTAGAGCATCATGGAAAACCTGGAAGCACAGAACGACCGTTTCGTTTTAGTACGGAACTCCTCAGCTGCTCCTTCAGTGCTTCCAGACTTTCCTGGATGGTCTAGCTTAAATCGACTCATGAATTCAACTATTAAATTTAGAATACATTAAAAATCATTATTTTGTAGATTTCTTGTTAAAATGTGCCTTCTATTCATACACATCATTGTTTTTAAAACTTATTATTGTTTTAATTTATCTATTTTTACCTTTTTATGCCTCTACAATCATGTTTTAACAGAATTAACGTCTTAATCTGTTACCATCCAATAATTTCCACATAAATCTAGTAGTCTGAAGACCAAACACCCTCTGTAAAGTCTGAATATCTTGGGTTAGATCTGTCGTGGAGTTGCGAATGCTTATCATCTAAGTGTCCCATGCCAAAACAAAACACCTGGTTGGTTGTTTAACTAAAGTCAGTTCGTGATGAGAAACTTCAATTTCACCAATCACTGCAACACCCTATAATAAAAATCCACATTGGTAATAAAAGTAAAATGATACAGAGTGACTGTATAACTGTTTGAATATTACATTCTTCTGAATGTTTAAAAAATGAAATGAATTTTTGTTCATTATGACATAAGAAATTTGTAATGGTAATATTTGTCAACCTAATCCATAAAAAATAACAGTTTCAGTAAGTACTCTTTATTCTCATTTTTGTGATATGTGATTGTAGAATTAGATTATTCATGTTTTATGTCACAACAGAAAGTTTAACATTCATAAAATATTACGTAATACTAATCTTTATTCATCATTATTATCAACTGTTAGAAATAAAAAAAAACTATTATTCCATTGTGTCTTATTTCGATTCATACTGAAATAATTATTCTTAAATACTTATGTAATGTAACCGATGGTTGGAGACTGGGTGACATGGTTCAGAATCGATCACAATGGCGTAGGTGTATACACTCTTTGTCTTCTCTTAAATTATGAGATTAAAATTATTTCATATCTTTCTTGTAATGAACTAATTCTTTCTTTCCGTATTATATTCTTACATGAAATCTTTCCTTTTTATATATTACACCATTGAGTTAACTGATTCTACGAATCCAGTGTTCGTCTTGTTGCGCTAATGAAGTGTAGTGACTTAGACTGATGCATGTATGTGCCTAGTCCTACGTTGTAACTGACTGACTGACTTATGTAATAGATTTTATCTAGTCTTAATTTGAAATGATTTTAAAGTTTTACTTTAGATTAGATAATTTAATAGTAAAGTTGACTAATTTCGATAGAGAGTTAAATGGAATTTCATAACTGTATAAACGATTGTTATGGAAGGGTTTATCTAAGCATAACATGAAGTTTTTTTTTGTATATTTTATTGAGGTACATCATTTTGATTATCATAATTTTCACTGCTATTTATATACACAAAATGCAATTAATTACAAAATATTAATAATAATGTATCGAAAGTAGAAATGATTTCATCCCTACCCCATCCCCTCCATGTTAAAAAATACCAAGAATATTGATGGTAAATGAAAATTATTATATTTACTCAAATATTGTCAATCATAATTAATTTAGAAATAATTACATATTTTTAAGTAGTAAATAAACAATATTATTAAATAATGAAATGAACTGTCTGTTTAAACAAAACAAAGATTTCTCTGTTTTGTATATATTATGATTGAAGTCACATATGCAATTGGAAAATAATCTAGTACACTTCTTGTACTGTTAGATATTATCATTAATCTTTATCACTATTGATGTGTAAGATTTAATTGAGCTATTCAGACAAACATAGTTTAAACTTGATTTTATTTTAGTGATTTTGTGTTCTTTAATCTGATTGATTTTATTCAGAAGTATTCATTGTTATCCTAGATAACATCGTCAGTACTTAATTCAATTGTTTGTAGTAGGTACTTTTCGTAATTGTTGTTACCTTCATTTATCTTTACATCCCTGTTAGCTATGTGATTTATCAGTATTTTCCTCATAGATCATTCGAGTGAGCTTGATTCACTTTAACTATTTATTGCCTTTTGAGTTGAATACTATGGTTCTAGAAAACCTGTGAGCTTTCTTTTGATCCAGAGTTTTTACATAGTTCCAAAGTTTTCTTTGTACAATAATTTCAAGAAGATAGGTTTTCCTGCAGTCTATAGGTACCAATGTCGTCTTTTTCTTTGAAGAAAATTTGAAGAAAGCTTGTACTCAACTAACGAGTAATAATTTTTTCATTGAATGCTCAAAGTATCTTTTTGTTCTTCCTACTTAAGTTTGAGTAACTTTCAAATGTGAACATTATTCTATCATTCATGATAGGTGTCCCACAATAGAACCAAACGGCTATCCAGTGCTTTCAGGTTTTCCATGGTGGTCTAGCTTCAATTGACTCATGATCTCAACTATTGAAAACACTATAATATCCACAAAAACCCCTTCTGATACTAAAACTATTTTAGTATATTTATAATTTCAAAATCTTTTTGTACAAAGTTATCATATTGAATTTCATTCTATGCAAAATTTCTTATCTTACTTAGTTGTTTGTTATCCTCTATAATCTTTTAAGTTTCCTATTAAAGTTCAGTTTGGAATTATTTAGAACAAAAGGATTAATAAAATATATACTATAGCATTGGATGAAATTAGATTGTACACCATAATAGAATATATATGTATTGCTATACTATTGTTTGGATTAATTTCACTTTTATCCATTGGTTCGTTCTCTATACTTAAAAATATTACCCACTACTTTTATGAAATGTATATTTTATTTTATTATTCATGAATAGCGATATGATTTATGTATATTTGTACTTTGCCTACTTCATTACACTGATAAATGTATGCGGTTTTACTAATTTGTATTTACTTCAATTTATGAAATCACTAATAATATATGAACGTGTAATTATGAACAAATGAAGTTTTGTAATTATGTTAAAAGTTAACAATATTCTTTCAATATCACCATTTGTAATTAATTTATCAGATTTCAACTGGTATATGGTCTAGTTAACTGAAATGCATAAGAAAGACCTTTTCAATTCATGTACTAATGTGATTAGAAAATTTAAGTATATACATCGAATTCACTTGATATTGTTTACTTGAATCTTCCCCTTTGATATTTAGGACTGCATTTGATCAGTCTATCATTGACGTATGTGCATACTGTGCGTATTGCCTCAATATAGCTTTAATTCACAAGTATTATAAGCAAAGATAAATGGTGGCTAGCAACAAAATCCACAACGATTGTTCTGTCCTATTTGGTACTCGTCAGCTGGATGTACTTGCATCCCATCCCTGTGAAGATTCAAACAAACAATACAAAATGAATACTACAAATATAATTGTATATGTCATCATACGATTAAGCTTTCATTTGTTAGCAAAATATTTAATCAAAGAAATAAAACTTGAAATTTTATTTTAGAAAGTAAATGGTATTTCAAAGATTTTATTGAGGATCATAATATGATCTATGGAAATGTAATCCTGTCTGTCGTTTGAATACCCATCTAAGTAAACAAATAGAGCGAAATCAAAGATTAGCGCAGAAATAATATAAATCCATTTCATTTTGTTAGGTTCTCATCAGCTGTCTATAATATTTAAAAATCAAAGTCATTACAGATAATGACTTATAAATACGAAGGTGATTAAAGATGGATAAATGTATCATGATGTAGTGAAGATTGCAATGGAGTGAATAAGGTCATAAATTACTTTTTGTTTCGGATAAATCAAAAAAACGTTTAGAAGGGAAAGTTCCAGAACATTGAACCAATGATTAGAATTCATAGAGTTAACAGATATAAGATGATTGTTCTCATAAAAAATGAGGAAACTCAATTCATTTCCAATAATATTGACATCGTTGGGAGAAGATTTAGAAGTTATTTCTAACATTCTTTGATCATATTGTAAGCAAACCCCTGAGATTTTGTTACAACTTTCTTGACACTAGCGTTCACCATTTAATAAATCATAAGAAACATAAAATGTTAGAGAACACTAGAAAAAGTAAATTCAATTCAGAAAAGAAACGACATAAGAATAGTTGAAAGTATACTAATTTACTGAAAACTATATATATATATATATATATATATATATATATATATATATATATATATATATATATATATTGCCTAATCAATATGAGCTGATCTCCCTTATTTGAAGGACGAAAACATTCAAAGTGCCTTAGTCCAAATATATGTATTTAACACCTTCATCTATTGTGTAATAAATCCTTTTATTGTCAGTTCAACTACTTACCTCACACTATATCAAGTGAATAATAGTTATGTTCTGTATGTGTTTCAATATTACAACTGCACTAACGTTTTAGTTACAATTGACAGCTGATTAACATGATCGGAAAAAAATAACATTTATATATTTTTATAAAGGTATATTTATATGTGATTATATCCTATCCCTAGTTACCCAGGTTTAATATTGTAACATTTATATGAAAGATCGATTTCAAATAATTAGTCAAATTATCTTTCTGGATCAAGTTATGTTGAAAACAATATTAAAGGTCATCTAGATTTTCAAATTGTTATCTATAAAAATTATTATACAATTGATATGATCCTATTTATTCTTTGTCTTAGTTCAAAAATAATAATTCATTAAATCAGGTTAAACATTTAAAATTAGACATTTCCTTTTCACCTACACTAATACCATTTCCTTTATCAATTCAAAAGAAAAAAGAAAGTTTGACATATACAGTACACTTTAATATACAAAGTCTAAATATATACTGATATGTACTGATCTGAATAAAAATTGATTAAGAATATCATTGGTTAATGTACAATAAAACATATCACATATGTAACTAAACAGTTGGCTTTTGTAATATTGATTATTTAGTATATTATTTACTTTCTTGATCGATTTTTCAATGACTCCCTAGATAATTATTGTATTAAATCATTATCAAAACTGTTATTTCATATGAAGTTTAGTTATAATATGGATATAAATTTTACTACATAATACTAATACTATATAATTCAACAGTTATCTTGTATGATATTGTGTTTATTTAACAATGTGTCATCATAAATTCATATACAACGCAGTATAAATAATTTTTAAAATCAGTCTACAACCAAGTTTGATTGATGATATAAACTATATCCCAATGAAATGATTTTCACTGGATCATTAATTTATTAGTATCATAAAAATTTACTTACTGTACAGACGTTTTGCATCAGTTGTTTTATCCTATTTACCTTTTACTAAAGTGATAAAGAATTAAATTTTAAATCGATCAGTGACTATATTAAAAAATCTTATCAATTCTGATCACATTAATCTATCATAAAATATGTTTCAAAATCATTTACAAAGTCAAATATTTAGGTTTGAAGGGAACATAGATCAATAGCTTATGAATTGGGTGGATATTAATGGTTTAACAGTATAAACCTGAAGTATGTGTGCAAGAAAAGCACATGAAAACTATCATTCTATCAAGATTCTAAACATCTTAATTCACTCTTCATACACAGTAAAACAATTGTTCATATTTCCTCCTGTGTTTTTACTATCTCTATAGTTTTTCCTTATTACCTCCACGTTTTTAGTTTTGTGCATACATTTTTTCCATATTCATGCAATTCACAGCCATCTTCAGTAAATCTATATTTTTTTGAACCTTCAGACTGTTAGCCAGACCTCTCATGTCATTTTAAGTTTCTGAGCACTTTCGAATTCATTTTGGAAGGGACAGGAGGCAGGGTGGCCTGTGTTAATCCGGACTATAATGGTCTATCAGATAATCTAACTTTCCTTTGAAGGCGTTGACTGATGGAGCTTCAACTACGTGTTGGAGTAATGAATTTCATTCATTGATGATTTGTTGGAAAAGTCGATAGTCAGTTGACAAGTAATTTGTCCTGGGGTTGTGAATTATTTGTAGTGTTCTCGTAAATTCTCTGTTTTGGAAGACATAAAAATGAGGGCACATCGGATGCAGACGTATCATTATGTAATTTGAAATCTGCGATTAAGCCACTACTGGTTCTTCAATATGACAATGGAAATAAGTTTAGTTTAGCCAGTCGAGCATCATACGGGAGCTTCACTATTTCAGGAATCAGATTATTTACGGTTCTTTGAACCTTTTCCAATGGCTCGCTGTCTCTTTTTAGACAGGGACTAGCCGCTTGTATGCTGTACTCGAGTTTAGGGCGCATGGATACTGTATGCAAAGTCAAAAAATGATTTAGCATCGTTATAGTTAAAGGCCCTACGTATTGACCATAGGGTTCAAAAACCTTTGGCGGTTATCACATGACAGTGTGCAGCTGCTTTTAGGTCTTGGCTAACGATCACTACTGGGTTATTGTGTGTCTGGACAACAGGTTGCTCATTGTTATATATATATATATATATATATATATATATATATATATATATATATCTTGATGACTAATATGTATTATAATGTACTTGGAAGCGTTTATGGGCAACTGCTAAATTTCGGAACATTCATATAATTTCTCAATTTGATTTTCAAGCCCTAAACTACCACCTTCAATTTTATCGCTTTCCGTATCTTGACATCTTCAGCACATAACAAAACCGATGATAATAGGAGGTTAGGATGGTCATTTGCGTATAAGAAGAACAACACTGGCCTCAAAACTGTACCCTCCAAGCACATTTGCCCAGCTAGGCAACTTCGAATTCACCCACACTCTTTGAAAACGCCCAACTAGGAAGTATTTTATATACATTAATGAATTGTCTCCGATCCCGATATTATTTAACTTATATAAAAGCCAGTTGTGAGGAACCTTGTCAACAGCCTTACTGACGTCAATCAGTTTTTTGTCTACATGTTACTTTTGATCTTTAAGAGCGCACCAACTTTCACTTAAAGATATAAGTCATTTTCATTTTCTTAATGAGGTGCTATATCTGTATATGAAATCACTATAATTATGATTGTATAGCTTTATTAAATGACAATGTTGTAAAGAATATTTTCTTTGCTAATTTGTCTTTATTTATGATTTGATAACAGAGAACGTTTGTTTTATTGTCGAAATTTCATTTTTGTTTTTTACTAATGGATGATTTTACTTCAGGATTTTGTAAACAGAAAAGTTTTCTAATCATGACTCAGTTAAAATGATTGCTTATAAAACATACAATGCGTAACTTAGATGAAACCATTCTGATATTCTCAAGTCATTATAACTCTAAATGTTTTAGATCTATTTATTTAACCATGTTAACTTATTGATTGTAACCAACTTATTAATAAATCAATTGTTCGCTCGAAAATTTACTTAACAAGCGGTTTAATCACATTAGGACTTCAGTTTATACAAGTTAGATAATTGTTTTGCTTCAATTTGTGAATTTCAAAAACAAACACTTGACTTCAAACTTGCATAAAAACAAACTGAATAGCTGACGGTTCTATATTCATCATTCTTTAAAGTACTTTGAACTGATATATTACAAACTAAACTAATCAATTTTACTTACCTAGTTAATAGTGTTAGTAGATAGTATTGCTTTATAAATGAAACTAAATATCAGTATTCTGTTTGACATATAAGATAAAGATAAACTATCAAAGAAAAACAATAAATAAGGAAGTAATTAATTAAATCACATGAAACATTATATTTTTTTTATTATTTAATTTTCATCAATGACAATACATTTTCTGCTTGTAAATAAATCATGATATTATATTTGGCCTATTGTAGATTAGAAAACTAATATATCAATGATCACTGATAAATTGATTTTGTAAATATTTTCAACTTTAAAAGAAACAAGTAATTAAGTGTGAAAACATTTATTAATTTAACCTACATAGTAGAATTACAAATCATCCTTAACACTTTATGGTGTATGCTATTGATGTTGACAGATATAAGTAGTATTGTAGTGAACAAAACACGGGTGGGGACAATCGAATGTATTTGACACAAAATTACAGGACATGTTAATAAAGTCTAACAATCAAATAGTAAATGCATAATTTGCACCATGTCCATCAGTTGTTTCAAAATGACTCAGACTTCACTGTTCTTGAATTTTCAGACAAATTGCATCATATACTACTTGTGTCTACATAAGTAGCACACAGCACAGCATGTATTATCAATCGAAAGTGAAATACCTGGTGGCAGAAAGTTAAAAAGATCGAAGGCAAAAAGAACGAGAACGAAAGTATAGTCTAGTCTGAGACGATTGATTGGCGGCCTGATTGAATATCGGGGTTACTTGTTCCTGCCATCTGGATATTTCAA